TCTGATTTCTTGGAGTCCAAACTGGTTTCCACTGTAAATACCTCTTTAAATCTTGTGTTGAGCTCCTGACATACCTCCCCTCGGTCGTTTCTTGTGAATTCCCCATCACCCTTCCTCAGTCTGATTACCTGGTCCTTGACTGTTGTTTTCCCCCTGATGTGGCTGTACAACAGCTTCGGGTCAGTCTTTACTTTGATGCTATGTCATTTTCATATTGTCTCTGAGCCTCCCTTCTTATCTGTGCATATTCTTTTCCCTGGCTCTTCGCTGATTTCTCTATTCTCCTGATTCTCTGCCCTTCTGTACCTTTTCCATTCTCTAGTACACCTAGTTTTTGCCTCCCTACACCTTTGGGTAAACCCAAGGACTCGTTCTGTTCTTCCCATTATTTCTTTTTTCCCCTTTGGGAACAAACCTCTCCTCTGCCTCCTTGCATTTTGTTGCTACATAGCCCATCATTTCTTGTACGGGTTTTCCTGTCAGTTCCCTCCCCACTGAATGTCTTGAAGGAAGTTCCTCATGCCTGAGTAGTTCCCCCTTTTGTATTTTGGTTTTTCCCAGCCTATTCCTGCTACCTCTCCACTTGGAGCTCAACTATGTAGTCGAAGCACAGAACCACATGATCACTAGCTCCCAGGGGCCTTTCATACATGATACCCCTCGATGTCCGAACTACTCATGGTGAATACAAGGTCCAACCTTGCGGGTTTTCATCCTCTCCTCTCTCTCTGGTAGTGTCTCAAACCCATGTTGATGCATGAGGTTCTCCAGTACCACATCCATCATCTTGGCTCTCCATGTTTCGGGACCCCCATGGGGCTCCAGGTTTTCCCAAAGTCAATCTCCTTGTGATTGAAATCACCCATAACTAGTAACTTGCTCCCCCATGGGGTGCTCTCCTGGCCACCTCGGCTAGTGTTTGATCATTGCTCTGTTGCTCTCATCGTATTCTTCTCTTGGCCTCCTGCGTTCTGTGGGGGGTTGTACATTACTGCAATTATCACCTTATGTCCCTCAGACTGGATTGTTCCTACTAAGTAGTTCCCTTTCGCCCATGCCATCCATTCCTTCCTTTTTCCCCTCAAAACCCCACTGGTTTTTTAATGAGCAGTGCAACTCCTCCTCCCCCTCTCCCCCCTCTGTCTTTCCCTGAAGATTTGATATCCGGATGGAAAGACTGAATCTGTTATTATTCTGGTGAGTTTTGTTTCTGTGAGTGCTATTATGTCTGGGGATGTCTCTTTGATTCTTTCGTGCAACTCCTCATACTTGTTTGTTTTTCCATCTGCATTTGTATACCACACCTTCAACTTCTTTTCTAAAGACTGTGGTCTGGGAAGTATTTTGGGGGTTGGGGAAGTGGGAGACCTGGTAGGGAACTATGGGTTGTTGCTGTGGGGTGAAGTTTGTAAGTAGTGGGTGGGGGCATTGGATGTGGCCATGGGTTTTTGATTTAGAGTTTTTGGGTTTTGCACTGGGGTTGACCTGGTTGGGAGGCTTCTATAGAAAGTTGTGGGGGGGCTGTGTTAGATCTTTTTTCCTGGGTCTGGGATCCCTGTCTGTCTTCTCCATCCCCTCTCTTTCCTCCTTTCTCCTTTGTACCATCTCTCTCAGTTTCTTCCTTTCTTCTTGTGTTCTGTCGCGGTCGAGATACACCCTCCTGTATGCCGTCATGTCCCTTAATCGTGCTTTCTCCTGCAGTATCCTGGTCCGAGTCGCTTCTGCTTTAAGGTCACTCTCACTGGCCGGGTTCTTTTTTTTACAAACCCCCCTATTCTCCGAAAATTTTCCGCGGGTCATATCGTCTTCTCCTATTGCTTTCATGATGCTTTCAAATTTCTTTTTTTTCCCCTTGTTTTCTTGCTTCATATGTTTCCCCCTTTGACTTCCTGGAGCCCATACACAAAGACTGACCTCACCTTTCATTCTCCCACTGCATATCCCTGTGTATCCCCCCATTTATTTGGTTTCCTCCACTGCAGCTTTCTTTCCATCAGTTTCACTGGCTAATGTACTTGGTCAGTGGCCTGTCATTTTCCCCTTCTCGGCTTTCCTTGGGCTCTGTTGTTGTCTGTTAGGGCCTCCACATAAAGCTTAGCTCTTTCATTTGCTACCCGTCTCCTCTGATAAGCATCTCCATGCAGTTGTGCCCTTCTTTCCCTACAGTCCCCTTATTTGTGGCTGAGGGTAGCAGTCTCTGTTGTCAATCCCAAAATGTTCTTTAGTTCTTTAGGCTGTTTCAGATTTTTCAGTTCTCTTCTAAACTCTGTATCCTAGTTCTGCTGCTTTGACATGCACCCCCCACTTCCTGCTTTCCATATCTATCCTCTCTCCATCTCATGCTAAGTCTTCTAGTTTCTTTTCCCATTCATGATCCCTTTTTTGAGCTCTGCTGCCCAATCTTCCTGTGCATTTTCCTCCCTGTCCCTTGGTTTTTCTTGTTACTCTCGGCAACCCCTTTTTTTTTATCCTGATTGCCTCAGAGTGGGAAACCTATGTAGTTCTGTATGTTAGGTTAGTAGTGTGGGGTGTCAGAGGTGGGGGGGGAAGTAGTGGAGGAACTGTGGGTATTTGGGAGCTGAGTGGGGAGGGGTGGGGAGGGTTTGGGGTGAACGGGGGAGGGGAGGGTGATCGAGGGAGGGGATGGATCAGGGAAGTAGTGAGATGGTCGGTGGTGAGGGGGGAGTGTGTGTGTGTCTGGATATGTTGTGTGGGGTGTTGTGTGTGTGTGTGTGTGTGTGTGTGTGTGTGTGTGTGTGTTTTGTGTGTGGTGTTTTGTTTTAAATTTTTTGTGTAATTTTGTGTGGATTATTTTGTGGGTTTATTATGTACTGAAAGGTAGGTGGCTTGTGTTGGAGTGTAATGTAGATTCCAGTTGTCGCTTGTGTCCACAACCTCTTCTGACCTGACTCCCACCCTTGGGAGTGTTGCCTATATCACCTGCTTATAGTGAGTTAATCGCCTTGTTCAATGGATTACCATTTTCTAACCTTTTTGAATACTTGAGTGCCTATTCTTTATCGTGCTATGAGAGTTAGACCATTCACATTCAGCTTGGCGGTTTAAATTGGAACCTGGACCCCACACCCAAACAACCACTCATAGGTTATACAGTACTTGTAGTGCGTTGTAGCAGTGTAGGTTTGTCCAGGTCGATGTGACGTCCCGGATAGATCCAGCTCGATGTACGTCCTGGCGTAGATCCACCTCAATTTCTTCTCGTTAATAATGTACCCTATTCACTGTATTTCTTTCACTGGTCACACTATTGTTTCACTTTATTAAAATCTTGGGTGACACTTGGCAACGCCGCCTTCACACTAGCCTGCGCCACAACGCTTTTATTTTCCAGATCACTTTCAAAATTGTGGCTCTCCCCACACTTGTGTGGCTCAGGCAATTAAAAAAAAACACTTCTAGGATTGCTGACTACCCTGACACACTTAGCAACCCTTGCAGAACACTTGTGTGTGTGTGTGTGTGTGTGTGTGTGTGTGTGTGTGTGTACTCACCTATTTGTACTCACCTATTTGTAGTTGCAGGGGTCGATTCATAGCTCCTGGCCCCGCCTCTTCACTGATTGCTACTAGGTCCTCTCTCTCCCTGCCCCATGAGCTTTATCATGCCTCGCCTTAAAACTATGTATGGTTACCGCCTCCACTACGTCACTTTCTAGGCTATTCCACGGCCTGACTATTCTATGACTGAAGAAATACTTCCTAACATCCCTTTGATTCATCTGAGTCTTCAACTTCCAATTGTGACCTCTTGTGTCTGTGGGCCCATCTCTGGAACATCCCCTCTTTGTCCACCTTGGAACTATTCCGCGCAGTAATTTTATATGTCGTTATCATGTCTCCCCTGACCTCCTGTCCTCCAGTGTCATCAGGGCCCATTTCCCTCAACCTTTCTTCGTAGGGCAATCCTTAGTTCTGGGACTAGTCTTGTTGCAAACCTTTGCACTTTCTCTAATTTCTTGACGTGCTTGACTAGGTTGGATTCCAACGGTGCGCATACTCCAGTATGGGCTGACGTAAATGGTATACAGAGTCTTGAACGAATCCTTACTGAGGTATCGGAACGCTATCCTTAGGTTTGCCCGGCGCCCGTTTGCTGCAGCAGTTGTCTGATTGATGTGCGCCTCAGGAGATATGCTCGGTGTTATACTCACCCCCAGATCTTTTTTTCCCTTTAGTTAGTGTATGTGTGTGTGTGTGTGTGTGTGTGTGTGTGTGTGTATATGTCTGTCTGTCTGTCTGTCTGTTGTCTGTCTATCTGTCTGTCTGTCTGTCTGTCTCAGCAGTGTGCTGTTGTTTTGTATAATTAAGTTACACAGTGGAACAAAAGCTGGCCATGTTTCCCCTCTCTTGTAGAGGTGAAGGTCAGTGTGAAACGCGGTGACTGGGTCACACCTGAAGGTATCATCCCCTTAGGGCCTTGAGCTACAGATTCTGAACAGTTGAGGGGTGTTAAGCTACAGCTCTAAAGGGAAGGGTTGTGGCTGGGGTTACCCAAACTCATGGAATATACTTGTCTATGCCAATGTAAGGATAACCATCTGGCTGACTTTCATGTTTCATGTTTCACGATAACTCCCTCCCCCTTCCCCTCACCATCACTCCTTTACGATAACTCACTACCCCTTCCCTTCACCATCACTCCTTCACGATAACTCCTCCCCCTTCCCCTCACCATCACTCCTTTACGATAACTCACTACCCCTTCCCTTCAAACCCTCACTCCTTCACGATAACTCCCTCCCCTTTCCCCTCACCATCACTCCTTTTCGATAACTCAAATCCCCCTTCCCCTCACGTCACTCCTTTACGATAACTCACTACCCCTTCCCTTCACCATCACTCCTTTACGATAACTCACTACCCTTACCCCTAAACCATCACCCCTTGGCCTCACCATCATCACCCCCTCCTCTTCTTCCATCACCGTAGCCTGGACGTAGCTTAGTACGCTGTGTTGCCTGTCTTACAGAGAGCGGTGGTGGGCTACGCGCAGTACACTCCTTGCTGGACATCCAGAGAGACAGAGAGAGGACACACCTCCATCCTACACGCTACCTAGACGACCTCAGAGTACTCTACAACATACACAGGTATGAGTATGGGAAGATGCAGATGTGGGGGGGATGCAGGTGTGTGGGACTGTAGGTGTGTTGGTGTGGATGTCGTTATGATCAAATTTTGAGTTTTGGATTGTTCATGTTTTTTTTTAGTGTTGTCGGCACCACGCTGTTTGTGTCTGGTTTCTCCCAGTTAGTCAGACACTACACAGACACACTCACCAACACATTACACAGACATACTCACCAACACATTACATAGATACACCCATCAACACAGTACACAGATACACCCATCAACACAGTACACAGGCACAACCACCAACACAATACACAGAGGTTGCTAATAGCAGAACAATCTCAACACACCTAACGAGCGTTCATCACCCAAGACAGATATCAGAGGAACTAACCCTGACACTGGCCACTTCAAAACCATGGGAATGTACGTGGTATCATCTTGCATACCGAAGGAAGGGGCAGCAGCCCAAAGAATGCCACCTGCGGGAGCGTTCAATAAAATGTCAGAGCCAGAAGAAGTTCCAAAAACTTCATGGAAAGCAGCGAGCGTACTTCCACTCGTCAAGGAAGCAGGTAGAGGATTTGGATTATATCAGTAGGTTCCCTGTAGTCGCTTGCAGGAGTCACCACCCTCCCTGGGCTTGGTCTCAGACCAGGTCTCCTGGAGGCAGGCCTTGCAAGACCAGCCGAAGAACATTGGTATTATTAATTAGCTATAAAAGTCATTTGTATATTAAAAAGACGGGTTCAGAGGAGGTAAATCTTGTCTCGCTAACCCACCAGCGTCACACTCTGGGCGGAGAACAACGTGACCTCACTACCGCTAAGTCACGCTCGGGAGGGGAGGCGAGGAAAGACGTGAAGTTACTACCGTAACGTAACACGTGGGGAAGGGTAGGGGAGGGGATGGGAGAGGTAAGGAGACGTGACGTTACTTGTAGTTAGACTTGAAGACAATGCCAAGGTCGCCGCCGTAACCTCACGCTCTCAGACACGTGACGAGGTGCATGCCGCAATTATTGTTTGTGTGTGTGTGTGTGTGTGTTGTGTGTGTGTGTGTGTGTGTGTGTGTGTGTGTGTGTGTGCGCGTGTGTGTGTGTGTGTGTGTGTGTGTGTGTGTGTGTGTGTGTGTGTGTGTGTGTGTGTGTGTGTGTGTGTGTGTGTGTGTGTGTGTGTGTGTGTGTGTACTCACCTAATTGTAGTTGCAGGGGTCGAGACTCAGCTCCTTGCCCCGCCTCTTCACTGATCGCTACTAGGTCGTCTCCCTCTCTGCTTCCTGAGCTTTGTCATACCTCTTCTTAAAACTATGTATGGTTCCTGCCTCCACTACTTCACTTGCTAGGCTATTCCACTTCCTGACGACTCTATGACTGTGTGTGTGTGTGTGGGTATGTGTGTCTGTATGTGTGTGTGTGTGTGTGTGTGTGTGTGTGTGTGTGTGTGTGTGTGTGTCTGTATGTCTGTCTGTCTGTGTGTGTGTGGTGTGTGTATATGTGTCTGTCTGTCTGTATGTGTGTGTATATGTGTCTGTCTGTCTGTATGTGTGTGTATGTGTGTGTGTATGTGTGTGTGTGCAGGACTGTGGGTATGATCATGTTTTTGCCATTGTGTGAGCATGACTGTGGAGCGTGACTGTGGGTGTGGCTGTGGGTATGGAGCGTGGCTGTAGGTGTGGCTGTGGGGTGTTGTTGTGGCTGTGGGTATGGGGCGTGGCTGTGGGTGTGGCTGTGGGGTGTGACTGTAGGTGTGACTGTGGGCGTGGCTGTGGGGTGTGGCTGTGAGTGTGGGGGGTGGCTGTGGATGTGGGGCGTGCCTGTGGGTGTGGGTGTGGGCGGGGCTGTGGCTGTGGGGCGTGGCTATGGGTGTGGCTGTGGAGTGTGGCTGTGGAGATGGGTGTGTGGTGTGGGTGTGGGGGCGTGGGTGTGGGTGTGGCTGTGGGGCGTGGCTGTGGGTGTGGGTGTGAGGTGTGACTGTGGGGGCGGGGCGTGGCTGTGGGTGTGACTGTAGATGTGGCTATGTGTGTGGCTGTGGGGGCGGGGCGTGGCTGTGGGTGTGACTGTAGATGTGGCTATGTGTGTGGCTGTGGGGGTGGAGCGTGGCTGTGGCTGTGGGAGTGGGGTGTGGGTGTGGCTGTGGGGGTTTTTGGGTTGGGGGTGGGGGGGGGTTTGGGGTGGGTGTGGGGGTGGGGTTTTGGGTGTGGGTTGGGGGGGTTGGGTAGGGGTGGGGTGGGGGGGTTGGTGGGGTTGTTTGGGTTTTTTTGGGGTTTGGTGGGTTTTGGGGGGGTTTTGGGGTTTTGGGTTTTGGGTTTGGGCTTTTGTTGGGGGTTTTTTTTGGGTTTTTGGGTTTTGGGTGGGGTGTTGGCCTTTTGTGGGTGGTGGGTTGTGGTGTTTGGGTTTGTGGGTTTTTCGTTTTGTGGGGTTGTTTTTGGGGTTTTGGGGGTGGGTTGTGGGTGTTTTTGGGGGGGGGTTTTGGGTTTGGCCCCCGTGGGGTTTGTTGGGTTTGGGGTCCCAAAAGGGTAAAAATGGCCATTCCCAAAGGAACACAATGCCCCCAACCCCAGCCAAACAAAATGGGGAGTTGGGGTTTTTTTTTGTGGTTTTAAACCCTTTATAAAATAGCTTTTTTCGCCCCTGAAACCCCCAACCCCGAGACCACGAAACCCCCCATCCCTTGTCCCGTTAGAGAACCCAAACCCTTTTGCCACGTCCCCCCCTCCTTTTTTGGCCTGTTTGACCCAAACCCCGGGGCCCCAAATTTCGATTTTAAGGCCCTTTCCCCAAGGAGAAACCGGCGCCCAATACCCAACAAAAACCCCCTGGGTTTTTTTTGTTACCCCCTAATGTTTCGCCCTTTTTTAGAACCTTTTGTTTGTCAGCCCCCGTTGGTTTTTAATTTTTTAAAGGAAAGACCCCCCCAAACCCGGAGACCTTTTTGTTTTTTTCAGCCAGTGTTATGATGTCCCCCCCCACCAGTTAGACCCCGTGTTTTTTCCCGCCATGGGGTTTTATGGTTTCCCCCCACCCCTTTAAAAACCCCCTTTTGTGGTTTTTTGTCCCACCAGTGTTATGAAGGGCCACCCCCCCCACCCCGTTAGATTTGGGTTTAATTTTGGCCAGCCAGTTTTATGATGGTCCCCCCAAAACCCACCAGTGGGGGGACCTGTGTTTTTTCAGCCAGTTTTTTATGTTCCCCCCCCCCCCCCCACCACCCCTAAAACCCTGTGGGTTTTGTTTCCCCCAAAACCTTGTTTAATGATGTTCCCAAACCCCCATTTAGACCCCGTGTTTTCCCCGCCCCGTGTTATGATGTCCCCCTCCCCCCAGTGAGACCTGTTTTTTTTTGTTCCCCCCCCAGTGTTTTAATGATTGTCCCCACCACCATGAAAAACCTTTTGGTTTTTTGTGTCCTTTTTCCCCCGTGTTAAAATGTCCCCCCCCACCAGTGGAGACCTTTTTGTTTTTCAGCCCGTGGGTTTTATTTTTCCCCCCCACCATGAGACCTTTTGGGTTTGTCCCCCCCCAAAATTGTTTTTATAATGTCCCACCCCCAGTGAACCCCGTGTTTCCCTTTTGGGGCCCCACCAAAAGGTTTTTTTAATTTTAAAGGAAAGTCCCCCCAAACCCCCCAGTGAGAACCGGTTGTCCCCGCCAGTGTTATTTTTAACAATGCCCCAACCAAGTTTGAGGAAACCTTGGGTTTTTCAGCCAGTGTTTTATTCCCCCCTGCCCCCCCCCACCCCATGAGACTTTTTGGGGTTTTGTCCCCCCCGGTGTTTTAATGAGATGTTCCCCCACCAAACCGTTTTGAGCCCCGTGTTTATTGGCCCCCCCCAGGGTTTTCCCTGGATGGTTCCCCCCCACCAGTGAGACCCTTTTTTGGGTTTGGGGCCCCCCCAAAAATTTTTAAATTTGTTCCCACCACCAAGTGGGAGGCCCTTTTGGTAAAGTAGCCGGGGTTTTGGGGTTTTATAGGGCCCCCCACCAGTTTAGACCTTTTTTGGGGTTTTCCCCCCCAAAAAGGGTTTAATTGGGGTGCCCCCCACCAGTGAGACCTTTGGGGGGTTTGTCCCCCAAAACCTTTTTTAATGGATGTCCCACCCCCCAATGAAACCCCGGGGTTTTTTTTTATCCCCCCGCCAAAGTGTTTAATGAATGGCCCACCCCCAGTGAGACCTTTGTGTTTGTCCCCCCCAGTGGGTTGGGGGTTTTTTTATTCCCCCCACCAAACCCCGGGACCCAAAAAGAAATTTCCCTTTGGGGAAAATTTTTGGGTTAGGGCAAAGTTTTTGCTCCCCAGGAATTCCTCCAATACATGTTTCCGGGAGTTAAACACCGTGTGGGGGGAGGGGGAGGCAGGGTTTCACACAAAACCCCCCTTTTCCCCCCCCCTCTCCCCCCTTTGTTTTTTTTCCCCCACTCCCCATCACGAAAAGGAAAAAGATACACTTAAATTTTTTTTCAAAACCTTTTTTTAAAAAAAAAGGATTCCCTAGAATTTTTGGCCAAAAAAACAATACAAAATAACGTTTGATACCACAAAAATTTTTCCCTTTTTTTTTCCCCCGGCCCCCTTTTCCAAAGGGAACCTAATTTTTCTGCTAGGTGAAAATTGGACAACAGTGGGGAAGGGGGGACTTTCCCCCAAAACGTTTCCATTTTTTCCTAGAAAAACGAACCGGGGGGGTTTCCTTTTTTTGTTTTTGAGCCCCCAAGTTCACCCGGGGGTGGGTTTTATGGGTTTTTTTCTCTTTGAATAAATGTTTTTTTACACCCCGAGGGGGTAATTCCCGCCCCCCCTTTTTTCCCCCGTTTTCCCCCCTTTCCCCCTACTGCCCCCCCTTTCCAACCCTTTTTCCCCCTTTTCCCCCACTGCCCCCCTTTTTTTTTTCCCACGGGCCCCCCTTTTTGCCCAGCCCCCTAAATATTAAAACAAAGTTTTTGACCCCTTTTATACCCATAAAAAAAAACTGCCCTTTTTTTTTCTGAAATTAAAACAAAATTTAATTTATATTT